ACCCTCCCCCATTCATGCTTTGTCTCTTTCTGTCTCAAAAATAAGTAAACGTTAAAAAAAATTTTTTTAAATTAAAAAAAAAGACAGTGGGAGTCAACGCAGAATCACAGTCTCTGATATCACTCTTTTCCCTACTCCTCACTCAGCCCATTAGTACGTCTGGTTGGCTCCGCCCACACAGTATGTTCCCAAACACGTCCGCTTTACTCCGTCCACACCATCTGGCCAACTGGCCCAACAGCAAATGTCCAGCATCCACTAGACCCCAGGACAGTTCCTGCTAGGCCTGTCTCCTCAAAAGTGCTGGCCAGGAAAAAGTATGGTCACAGTCTGAGCATTTTAGGCTCAGAAGGTTCTCTGCCGCATTGCCCCCAGAACCACGAGTGCCAGAGAAGACAGAGGCTCATGGACTTCAAGGGAGCTTCCGAGGCCACATTGCTGGGCAGGGGTGGGACCAAGAAGAGGCGAGAACGAGGACTCGCCCTCAAGTCCAGTGACCTCACCACTGTGCCATGGCAGAGGGACTTAGGAGATCAGCAGAGCCAAGGCAGGAGTCAGTCGGGGTGCTGGCCGGAGGGGGATCTGGGCACACACTGGGTCTTGTCAGTCTGAGGCCCACAGACCACCCTCGATGTCTCTAGACAGAGCTTCGACGTCAGGCATGGTGCACAGACCATCAATTCTGAAGGGAAAGCACTGCATGGGGCAGAGGGAAAGAGGCGGGGGAGGGGCCAATTTGCCATCATTCCTCTCCTCTGGGGAGGGAGGAGCTGGCCTCCACTTCCTGTGAAAAGCCCTGTAACCTACCCCCAAAACCACACTGTACACACTGTATGTTAGTCAACTTGACGATAATTGTATTTAAAAAAAAGAAAGGAAAAAAAGAAAAGCCTTGTGTGATGGGCACGCTCCCCAGATGACTGCTGGTGCAGGAGCACTCACACCAAGCCTGGGGAGTGAGCGGGTGTGGCCCAGCCTGCCAGATATGCGAGAGGCAGACAGTCGACCACGGGCCCCCCCGGGAGTGGCTGCTTCCCTGCAGAGCACCTCCGGAAGTTTGGGGCTGCAGGGAGCCTTGTGGGATCCCATATAAGGCCTCTGACCTCATCCCCGATGGCCCTCCAGCGTTCAGTGCCAGCGGGGCAGTCACGGACGAAGCACCCGCCTCTTGCTGTGGCCCAGGCACTGCCTCACGCAACTTCCCACGCCCCTGGGGGGCAAGGAGAGTGATGAGGCCTTCGGCACCACCCACCAGAACCCAGACGCCGCCTGCCAACGTAACCGGAGGAGGGACAGCAGCAGGATGACGCGGGGGACGAGGCCCTGGCTGGGACGCGGGGACCTGGCTTTGGCCATTAACTTTGGGGCCGGGCTTGCTTGTGTGATGAGCGGTTGGACTGACCCCCGAGGTCCCGTCCAGCTCGAATCCCTGCTGGGCAGAAGAGCCAAAAGGTCCCTCCATGGCCACAGGTATAAAGTCGGAAATTGGGATCTTTATGGGCAATGCTGGCAGTAAATTAAAAACATTTTTTTTTTCTTTTTAAACAAGCTTGGGTCTGACAAGACAGAGCCAGGGCCAGACTGGGGGCCGTCTGCTTGGGACTTTTGCCCCCCCCCC